CGAAGGCTACTTCTATTTGAACATGGCGGCCCTCGATGTGAAGACGAGGGCGACGGCTGCAGAGTACCTAGCCACGCATCTCTTGGCCGGCCCTTCGGCACGGGTGGTAGAACCGAGGCCAGACAATGTACTGTTGTGCGCACCCGAGGGGTGCTTTGCCATTCATATCTGGTCGGTGGAATTGGGGCTTCGGTTTCCCCTTCACCCCTTCGTGTTGGAATACCTTAGGTTTGTGAAGCTGGCCCCCTGTCAGTTGACGCCCAACAGTCACTCCTATATTGCTGGATTTCTTTCCCTCTGCTGCAACCGAGGGGTCCCACCCTCATTGGACCAGTTTTTTCTGTCCTTCAACCTATGGCGGGGGGGGGGGATTCAAACGCTGGAGGCTTCGCCAACTTGCAGCAGGTCCTGGAGTTTAGGTTGTTTGACGACGTCCCTTCGTCCCACAAAGGATGGAAGGACAAATTTTGTTACATCCGCATGGCGGAAAACCCCTTCCATGCCCCACTTTCTTTGAGAAAAATTTCACACAAGAGCCTTGCAATATCACTACCAAAAGGTCTGGTTTATCAGGTCTCAGAAATTCCTCCTTAAAACATAGCAGTTGCCTCAGCAGTCCCCTGGTGACTACCCAACTGCTGAGACCACTGCTCATACAAAATTATTTCCTTTGAACATCTCAACTTCACTAGACCTTCACATCACTATCGCCAAGGGATCTGTTCAATCTGATCTCTGAAACTCAAGTTGTAACCCAGCAGGTGCCTCAACAGTTCCCTCATTGCCACCCAACTACCGAGACCATTGCTCCAGTAAAACTCCCATTTACTTTTACTTAAGCACATTTTCAGAAAGTCCTCATCAACCTGAGCAATATTATATAATCAGTCTTCCCATACCTTCATTTTCACTTAAGCAGGTACCTCAGCAGTTCCCTGGTAACTACCCAACTGTTGAGACCACTGCTCTCATTAAGATTGATTATCAATCCACCTCATTACATCATCAGAAAGCCCTTTTCATTCAGAGAAAGATTCTGCTTGCACTTTCACCATACACTCATTATTTCACTAGCAGTTGCCTCGGCAGTTCCCTGTCTTCCAGTCAACTGCCAAGCCAACTGTTCACTATATAAAGTCCAACTATTACCCAAGTTAGAAAAGTGTCATACATTGAACATCTAGATGTTAAAGACTTCCGTTGTGCATCTATAAATCTCCCAAAAGATTTTAGATCAACTCATCTAGAAGGGAAAAGTTTTTAAAGTTGAAAAAGCTTTAAAAGTCTATTCACCCCCCCCCCCCCCTCTAGACTTTTACCTCTATCTGGGACCATCAGATTATGTAATCATATTTCACACCCTATGATTGTTCTACATGTTTAGAAGTGTAGAATGAGGGGTTGGAAGGTAGTTCTAAGTCCAAGAACGGACTTAGAAGCCAAAACGACCGGTTCGCCGGAAAATAACCTTTTAGAGGTTATTTGTATTGATATGAGTTTTGCGATGATAAAACCATGTTAGGAGCTTAACTAAAGTGTTTCTAGAGTTCGTCGAAGTTCGCCGAAGTTTCGCCGGAGTTCAACCGAGGAGCGTAGAACACGCTAAAGCTCAGTTAATGTGATTGGACGGCTTAATGTCTTATAACTTTTGGGTTAATTATGAGATTACCTAAATAAATGTTATATATATTCAAAATGATGTTTAAAGGATATTTAAACATGTGATGTGCCAAAATGGTTAGGTTTGAATGAAATGAATTACTTGAATATACATGAAGTATGATATGAGAAATTTTTGTGAAAATGCATGCTTGACTTGAAAGTGAAACAAGCATGATAATTGATATTATTAACTTGATACACATGATGATTAAGTTGGTATGAGTAAGATTTGTAGTGACGGTCAACGGGGCGTTGACCGGTTGACTACGGGTCAACCGACACCGGTTGATATTATTTACTTGTGAATTGAAATGAATGCATGGCTTTGCATAGACTGTTATATGCATGGGCTTTATGGATTGATTTAGCCTTGTATAAATGATTATTTAATAGGCCTTATCTAGGTTGATATGAGGTAGGTCATAGGACCAAGGAGTCCTCAAAACTTATATATATTTCGGTGGAGAACCCAGGGACTAAGGAGTCCTCAAAACTCATATATACATCGGTGGAAGACCCAAGGACTAAAGAGCCCTCAAAACTCGGAAATACATATGGTGGAGAACCCAAGGACTAAAGAGTCCTCAAAACTCATATGTATATTGGTGGAGTACCCAAGAATTTGTTGTCCTTAAAACTCATAGATTTTGATTAAAATTGTGGACAAGGAGGAGTCCTATACACTCATAGGTACATGGGTGAGTTGGAGTTTTAAGTCAATGACTTGACTACTATTTTTCCCAAATAAACGATAACCTACGGGTTAAGTATTTTCCAAGTGTATATACGTATGTGTATAACATCCTTTTGTTTTAGGATAAACTCAGCCTGAGCCTTTTTGAAAGCATGGAGTCCATTGTCAACAGAAATTAGATTTTCCTCCTTGAGAGAAAGGTCATCCTCAGCCTTTTTAAGGTTCTGAAAAATGTTGCCAAAAGAGTTGACATTCCAAGATTTTAAAACCTTTTCACTCTTTTTAGTTTTTGTGTGAACAAAAACATACCAAATCCCTCACAAGGTTTAGACCAGGAGTTTCTAACAATTTGTTGGAAATCCTTATGGTCAGACCAAATATCTTAAAATCTAAAAGCAGTGGGGTGAGTAGAGGCAGACTGGGTGTTTATCTGGAAAAGCAGTGGAGTGTGGTCATCGAGAATGAAAGGCAATTTGGTGCAGGAAATGATTTTATTAGAAAGAAAAAGGGGCTGGTTAGTTAACACAAGATAAAGTTTTTTAAAAACAATTCCCCCTCTTCGGTTATCCATCCAAATAAAATTACCTCCAATGAGAGGGATATCAATCAAAGCATTATTGTTAATAAAAGAGTTAAAATTAGAGATAGCATGGGAATTGGGGAAAGATTTACCTTTATACTCATCAATGTCTCGAATGGAATTAAAATCACCCCTGAGGAACCATGGGTGATTAACAATAGTGGTATGGAAGCTAGTCAGGTCTCCCAAAGCGACAATCTGTTAACTCTATCACAATTGGCATAAATGAAAGATGATATCAATCTGTAAGTCATCATTCCAAAGAAGCCGGATTTTATTGAGGTTGTGGGGGTGATGGTTGTGCAGGTTGATAGTTCTCTGAAGGGGGGTAATTTGAGATGGGTGACCCATAGGTTCCAAGATAGCAATGATGTTAGGAGAGTGGGTTGTTTTGAGTGGTAGAAGTCTATTTTGGGTATCTGTATTAGAGATACCATGAGCATTCCAGATGAGGGCTTTAAACATTAGAAATTTGGTGGGTAGTCAATTTTGTGTTTGGTTTTTTTGTTGTTGTTGAGCTTCTTGTAGCTCTCTTGTTGGAAATTGGAACTTGTAGCTGAGCTTTTTGGATGGATGAGAGGGGAGGGAGATTCTTAATGGTAGTCAGATAATGACTCAAAGGGATTACTTATGATGATAGGAACAGATTTGGTAAGAATAACAGTGGGTGGATGCTCCACATTAGTGGTCAGAGGGGGATTCACAGTGCTAATGGCAAGGGGTGACTTCTCTTTACTGGAGTCTCCAGCTGAGAGGGTGGTTCAGTGAAAGGTTCATCATTACCAAAGGTATCTGAAGAGTGTAGCTCAAGAAGATCATTGCTTACCCCATCCAATTGGCCATTAGGGGGGTGTGGTTGCGGGTGGGAGTTGGGTGGGAGGGATGGGATGGGGTTCAGGGGGATGAGGTTGAGAGGATTCGTCCATCAAATTGATTAAGAAAATTGAATAAACAAAATTTGGAAAAGTTTAGTTTATTGATTGCATGTCAAATCAATTTGTGTATTTGATGGCTGCTAAAACAGAATCTTTTATTTGCAATATTTTATTATTTCGTTATAGTAAGAAATGCAGCAAGAGTTTTTATGTATTAAACTAAACTACATTATTATGAGGTTACCCATTTGAAAGAATTTGTGTGATATTTTTCGTATGTAGCCTTATGTCATTCATTCATTTATTTCTTTACCACTTCCTCCGTCTCGCTAACAATGAGACAAGAAGGAGTAAAATATAAATTAATAAAAAGTGGTTTATGTGGTTGATATTGAATTGATAAAGTAAGAATAAAGTAAAAATGATTTAGAGGCACACAACCTTTACCAAATTTGGTATGAGACAATCTTAGTGGGACGGACCGATAAAGTAAAATGGGACAATCATAGCGAGACGGAGATAGCATAATTTAAAACAAGAGAGAAAAACTCTTATTTTAATTGAACTAATTACTTACGGACAACCATAAGTCATAACTCTAAATAATTTAATATCGGTGGGCGTAGCTCAACTGGAAGCAAGGGAGTGTCACAAGAGTTAGGTCCTGGGTTCGAATCCCAGCAACTGCGATGAGAGGTTACTATGCTAAAAATGCATAGGGCCTCTACAAGTACCGGAGACAGAGCCTCACTCTCTATTAGTCAAATTGGAATTATAGTCTAATTTAGATCCTTCCAACATACCATCTGATCGGAGTTGGGGACCCTCAAAATGGTGTCATCCTTTTTTGTGAATAATTTAACAAAAATGATGTTTGTACACACTCTTATACACATTTTTGTACACACCTATGTCTGTGAAAGTTTTTTTTTCCTGTGAACATCGATTCACAGACAATGTTTTGCACAAACAAAATATTGTCTGTGAACCGGATTCACAGACAAAAAAAAACATCACAAACATGATGTGTATAAAATGTGTACAAGGGTGTGTACATCTGGTTGATAATTTAATAGGGTATATATGTGACCATTGACCATTCAATAAATGGAATTTGGGGATGGCAATAATTTAACCCCCCATGCCCACCCACCCTTCTCTGGCCCCACACCACATTCTCACTGCCTCACCACTCCCACTAAAATATAATCAATCACACAACTCTCTGGCCAAGAACACCATTCTCTCCATCTCTCTCTACATTCTCATTTTCATACCAATCAATGGCTACTGCACGCGAAGAGAACGTGTACATGGCGAAGCTCGCCGAGCAGGCGGAGCGCTACGAGGAGATGGTGGAATTCATGGAAAAAGTTGTGTCCGCTTCAGACGGCGGCGAGGAATTGACGGTCGAGGAGCGCAACCTCCTTTCCGTCGCCTACAAGAACGTCATCGGCGCTCGCCGTGCCTCTTGGCGGATCATCTCCTCCATTGAACAGAAGGAGGAGAGCCGCGGAAACGATGACCACGTTTCCTCCATCAAGGAATACAGATCTAAGATCGAGTCTGAGCTCACCTCGATCTGCAACGGTATCCTCAAGCTCCTCGACTCCAAACTCATCGGATCAGCTCACTCTGGTGATTCCAAGGTATTCTATTTGAAGATGAAGGGTGATTATCACCGATACTTGGCCGAGTTCAAAACTGGACCCGAGAGGAAAGAAGCTGCTGAGAATACTCTCTCCGCTTACAAATCTGCTCAGGTTTCTGCTTCCCCTGCTTTCCGGGGCTAATAATTGAATTTGATTTTATCATACCTCTTCAATTGACTATATACTTTTATTCAGATACGTAAAATTGAAATCTTAACCGCAAATGAGTGCCTTTTTTGTTAGGAGATCGCCACTGCAGAACTGGCTCCTACTCATCCGATTCGTCTTGGTCTTGCTCTAAACTTCTCTGTGTTCTACTACGAGATCTTGAATTCTCCTGATCGTGCTTGCAGTCTCGCCAAACAGGTGATCACATTCTTCCGATCAAATATTTGCACTTGAAAATTTCTGCATCCTATTGTCCATCTCTACAACAACAACAACAACATCCAAGCCTTCTTCCCATGCTTAGCTACACAAATATCTATTCAATTACCATGGTGTGTTTAAGATCTGCAATTTAGTGCTAGGATGTTTTGAATTGATTTCCTTTATACAGATTCTATTGTTTAATTGGCTTCACGGCCTCGATTTTTTGAGTTTACCCTGCTTGTTAGGAACTGTTAATCAGTTTGATGATTGTTTTTTTACACAGGCGTTCGATGAAGCAATAGCGGAGCTCGATACACTAGGAGAAGAATCATACAAGGATAGCACTTTGATTATGCAGCTTCTTCGCGATAACCTCACATTGTGGACTTCAGACATGCAGGTATATCTTCATCCATTTGTTAATTACGGCCTTTCTTTTAAGATATATGTACTTTTATTAGTCGTTTATGTTTATGTAATTTGCCTCTTTGATAGGATGAGGGGACTGAAGAGATCAAAGAAGAGCCAAAACAAGACAAGGATTAAAAGCCATCTAACAAAGGATCCAGAATCCTTTGTTATGGCTTTGTGTTAGGGTCAAATTATGATGCCCTCGGTAGTGCTAGGATGTCATTAATATGCTACATTTGAAGACATTGTTGTATGTTAATCTATTGTTACATTGTCAAAATTTCTAATATCTGTTGGTCCCTAATATGTTTTAATTTCAGGGTGCTTTCATTTATCACAAATGTTTGATGCATGAATTTGTACGATCTTTCTTTCAGCAATTGATGCATTCGTTCAATGAAGTTCTGTGTTATCTTCAGACCCCTGTATTGAATATACCTTTGTGGGAAGCGTTTTACCATGGCTGGCTCATATTGTAATGAAGCCTATTTTTCTTTGGTTATTGCTTATAAGTGCATGCCTCTAGAGTCTAGATCTCCCTTGAACATCTACAGGTGGGTACTTGGCACCCCGCCTTGGTGTAGTCTGCATACTATACCTTTCTTTTGTTGGTAGCTGAAAGTTACGGGAAACAACAGCTGTTAGAACTGACAGCTGTTACGGCAGTAGCTGGTGATGCCAGCTGTTTGCCTTATCACCTAGGTGACTAGGCACCTCTCAAGGCGACAATTAGATGACTAGTTTTACCATATGTAATACGTAGTACGGGGTACTTCATATGTGTGAGTATCACGTACAACAACATTTAAGCTTTGAGGTCGGCTAACATTAATTAATACACTTCATCCAAAAAGGTTTGCCAATTTTTCTTTTTTGGATGTCCCAAAAAGATTTGTCATTTCTATTCAAAGTAAGAAATACTCCCTCCGTCCCTTAAAGGTTTGTCATGTTTGACCGACACGTAGAATAATAAAGTAAAAACTGTGTGGTAGAAATTTGTGCAGAGGAGAGAGAAATAACATGAGCCACAAATTGATTGATTAAAAGAGAAAGTGACAAAGTTTTTGGGACAACCAAAAAAGGAAAGTTGGCAAAGTTATAAGGGACGGAGGGAGTATGTGGTTAAAATTAATTCTCTTTGCTCGGCACAAATTTTAACTATACAGTTTTTACTTTATTAATTCACGTGAAACTCAACTTTGGCCAACGTTTTCGGAACGGGAGTATATGATATTATAAGTTTGTAACCAAAAGATAATAAAGATAAAAACATAAGTTATGATAAAAAAAGATAATATAAAAAGAGATGGATATACATAAAAAGATAGAATAAAAATGATACAAATAATATACTCCCTTCGGTCCTAAATAAATTTCACATTTTGACTTCACACAAATTAAAGAAATAAATTTGACTTTACTGTAAAGTACACTGTTGTGACACTGTTTGGCATTGTTTTGATGTAAGATAATTTGCCAAATAAGGAAGGGAGAAGAAGTGTGAAGTTTATATTGGACCTACCCAAAAAGGAAAGTGTGAAGTTTATTTAGGACCGGAGGGAGTATATATATATATATATATATATATATATATATATATGTATGTATGTATGTATGTATGTATGTATGTATGTATGTATGTATGTATGTATGTATGTATGTATGTATGTATGTATGTATGTATGTATGTATGTATGTATATGTATGTATGTATGTATGTATGTATGTATGTATGTATGTATGTATGTATGTATGTATGTATGTATATATGTATGTATGTATATATATATATATATATATATATATATATATATATATGTGTGTGTGTGTGTATATATTGTTGGAAAAATGTGTTAAAATTGCATTAAATGGTCTTTTTGGGGCAATTATTTGAGTGGGGTCCACTTCCGATTTGGGTCGGGTCAAAGTGGTTTCGGATTGTCCTTGTTAAGGGCTACAATTCGATATATGGTACACTCAAAACGGATAACGGGTGAATGAGAAATTGATTCTCGAAGTTCACTCGTTGAAATGGAAAAACTGGGAAAATGGTGAGTTTCTAGTGTGTTTTATCCCACACCGAAAAACTCAAGGGATTTTCACCCCCTTATAAAGGGAAGCCTCTTTTAAGGAGTTAAGATTCCTAAAGGGAAAGGCTCTCTCTTACGCGCAGGGGGGGGGTGCCGATCAAATCCCGAAACGGAGAAGAAAAACCGCGACTCGTGTGCGCGGGCGACCTGCGGACTCGAACTCTGGTGGCTTCGGACCAGAAGCTCGAACTCTGGTGGCTTCGCATCAGAGTTGCTCCAACTCTGGTGGAGGTCTTCTGGTAGCATCAGAACTGCTCCAACTCTGGTGGGGGTATTCTGATCGCGCACCAGAACTGCTCCAAGCCGTTACAACCATTAAATGCCCAACGTTCTTGTCTTTTAATGCAACGTTAAATGGACAGTTTATGGATGATTCAATGCCCAACGGACTGGTCATTGAAGTCCAACGTTCAGGTCCATTAACACCCATTTAACACACAACAAATCCTCCTATAAATAGCTGGCAGGTGGTTTGCAACAACACAACGCACAATACATTCCTCACGAATTTCTTGAGCTAAAAACACCTAAAGCTACTCAGCAAACTTCCTTCTGTGTTCATACTTGGTTCTCGTTCGCTGCAACTCTTGTTTGTGTGCTCAAACATTAGTTCGTAGTCATCGTATCCTGGGAAACGATTGTTGCAACGCTCCTAGCACCGTGGGAGGCAACAAATACGTTTTAAGGAAATCGTGCGTAGCACGAGCTTTGACTAATTCTGCTTCATCTCCTTTCCATTTTTTCTTTAGTCATTTTATTTAATTAATTTATTTTAATTAATTTTCTTTATTTTCCGAAACACACCCAACATATATATATATATATATATATATATATATATATATATATATATATATATATATATATATATATATATATATATATATATATATATATATATAGGGTTGGGTTCTGATAAGAAGATATCTTAACATGAGAAGTGAGAAGTTTCACATTTGCCTCTTTCTGGTGCACTTTTTCGCTAATATGATATACTTTTTGCGATAGCAGAAAAGTTCCTATTAATAACGGATATGCCACCGCGTCTAGCATCACTTTTTTAGTATTTTTTGCATTTTCACATGCACTTTTTTGCTAATCTGATGCACAGATCTTAAAATGACGCACCAGATGCATTCTCACTTCTTACGATAAGCACTCTTATCGATTGATCCTTATTCTATATATATATATATATATATGTGTGTGTGTGTGTGTGTGTGTGTGTGTGTTGAGGTTTAAATCCGTAGATCCGAAAGCCCAACATGAACTTTGGATATATTGGGAAAGAATGGGTCAAGAATCACTTGTAAAGAGAGAATATAAGATCTGAATAAACCAACACTCAAAAAGCCCACTTGTATTAATCAATCTAATGATTACACAGAAATCTCCCGATCGGTATGTCAGAGTATACAAGAATTACAGAGATAAATCTATTCTAGGCTTGAGTATCAAAATGCTAACCCTTACAATGAATCTAATCCTTCTATTTATACTAATGGGGGTATGGGATACTTCATGTTGATTGGTTGCTTTATCTAGCCACTTGGAACTCATGCTCCCACTAGCTGCCGTCATACTTTAGCAATAAATGCCCCCTGCCACTTGTTGGCTACCCGCTGCTCGAACGGGCAGTGGTTCCTGCTGGAATCATCATTGATCTGGCCCAAGTTCGTTGATTAGTCCGATCCCCGTTCGGTACATTGATCTCCCAAGAGCTGGTTCATTTCCTAGATGATGAGCCCGTCTAACGGACTGGATATCGTGGACCTTGGATCCGGGTATCGGGCCTGCGGCCCAATATCCCAACACAAGTCCCCAACTTCTGATGTCTCGAACAGTAGTGAGTGCATTGGGAAGTAGAAGTTACCTGCCGAATGGCGATCAGGATTCAGAGTTTGCTGGTTCCCCATGTCATGATTAGTATCTTTCTTGCGGCTGTCGTTTGACATTTCCCATAATCGTCATGATTAATGATCTTTCCTTCTCCATGCGACACGTGTCCCTCCAAATAGTCTAGACGAAGTGTCATTACTTGGTTGGTCGTCGATACGGTGTTTGTTAGGCTATAAATTTAGCCTTTAGTTCTTTAGTTCTGGGTTTTCCGAATTATCAAATCCTTCGTGCTTCAGCTCTGTCTTCTCTCTAAACCTTCCTCAAGTTTTTCGTGTCCAGGTACTTTTCATCCCTTACTTTTCTCCCCGTTCTTCGGTCTGGTCAGTATGAGTTCTCAATTGCATTCCTTCGACTCGGAAATGGCTTCCCAAGGGGATGACCATGTTGTTGCCGCTGTGGACGTCATAAAGGTCCTGTTTGCTAGTGGTTCAACTGAAGCGACGGCGGAGACTAGGGCGGAGGCGGATGATTCATCTGTTGGCTCCTCTACAGATGATGATTCTGACGATACGAACTCCGATGATGAACTTATTACGATGGCGGCTGGCCTCCCGGGCGATGTTCCTCGTCACAAGGTGGATTTGAGGCTAATTCGGGAAAGGAGGCAAAAATTGACCTCTCACAATAGGGCCCAAATCCCAACCCTAATCCCTGATCCAGTTAATTTCCGTCTTCGGGCTGGGCTTCATCCGCTGCGCCACCTTCCTGGGATGGTGGTGGTCCATCTAGACTCAGTAAAAGCTAGGCTTAGGTTTCCCTTACACCCCTTCTTCGTTTCCTTTCTTAATTTTTACGAAATAGTACCGGCCCAAGTTATGCCGAACTCCTATCGGGTAATAGCGGGCTTCATTTGTCTTTGTAAAGACGCCGACGTTATCCCCACCCTAGAATTGTTCCATCAATTTTTTAAGGTGGCTCCCCAACAGACACATGGATACCTGGCGGCGACTGCCCGGACGAGCCACATTTTGTTTAAAGGAAATCCTACCTCGATCAAAGGGTGGAAAAACCGGTTCTTTTTTGTCTCCGTCCCGGACGGCCTGATCCCTAACAAGTGGAATGCATTTCCCTGCAAAACTCTCGATCCGCTTCTCACCGAACAAGTGTGTAAGGATGTCTTCGCAGTAGAGAAAGACAAATGTTGTGATATCATGGGATATCTGACCCCCGATCGACTAGTCAAGGCCGAGATAAGTATCGCCCGCTCTCTTGGATCTACTTGTTTAAGAACCAAGTACCATGGTCCAGGCGATCCTTCCCGTGCGAGAAACGTTCTGTTTTCTTTGTTTCCCACGTGATAAGACCGTTCGGTACTAACATTTTCCTTTGTTATTTTTTCAGCTCCCAATCCAGACGCTCAAATGGATAACAACCGTGTGTTAGCAGCCGGTGGGGTCGGGAAAAGAAAGAAAACGAAGAAGAATCCCAAGTCTTTGGGCCCTGCCTGATACTGGTCAGGTAATTGAAAT